CTACTTTTCTGCTTTCATGTTTTTCAAAGACTTGATGGCGTCAGAGTCTTCCTTTTTCAACAAATATTCAATCAAAATGTCTTCCTGAAGATAGAAAATGTTTAAAAACTATTAGATGCTAGTTTATGTTCTGGACACAGATAGTCATTCATATTTGCATTTACAGTAAAGGCCCACTATCAAATAAATAAATAAATAAATATATTGGTGATAGAAAATCGCCCTTCCTTGCAGCCCGAGTGCTGAATTACGAAGGACGCACCTCACGTGATCGGGTCGGTTATGCGGTATACGAGGGCGCTATCATTATGAAGACAATCACATAGTTACAACACACACACAAAGCAGCCAGCGAACCGACCCATATCTGATCACGGAGCACAGCTATCACTCTTGGATGCTTTGCAACCATTTCTTTTTGCTTTTAAGTAATGCCCCGAGTAAGAACTAGGGAAGCAAACGGCACAGGAATGCAAGAAGGTGCTAATTGCGCATTGTATAATCCATCCATCCCATTGGTTAAAACATGAAAATCTGCTATAATTTCACAAGTTAGCGAATTTTCTAATATTTTATTTAATGTCTGTTTTCGCTTTCATGAAAGCTTTCTTTAGCTTTAATATTAAGGCAATTCTACGTGGGGAACATAGCAAATTAGAAGCATCTTTTGGCTATTGTTTTGAGTGCTTATGATTGGATAAGAGCTTTTAATACAAAAGAAACTTTGTTTCAAAATAGAGTTTATCCACATTTTATATCAAAAATGTGTTACCCACAGGTTAATACATAATCAGTGTGAAAACCAAGACATTCGTACATGGGGAACTCGCTATGCCGCAGAACAATAGAGAGTTCCCTAGTTCTTTAGCGCATTGTTACTTAAAAGAAGTGCCCGTTTGTGAATGGCCTAGCCTGCATAGCCAGCCATTCCTTGCTACTCTGAGAGAGTTTGGGCCCAAAACTCTCTCAGAGCAGGAATGCCTCGGTACACCTTACTTGTCCAATACTCTGACAAATTTATGCAAGACATTGTATTGCATTCTATTGTATTGCGTCGTTCTTAAAAGTCTTGTAGTGTTAATCGTTTTGTGAATTCAATACANGCTTTAATGTACGCAGCTGAAAACGGTGAACAAAATGTTCTGGAAGCACTCGTCACTAGCGGTGCACAATTGAACGCAGCAGACGAAAGGGGGAAGACGGCTCTAATAATTGCAGCAGCTTCAAATCATGTCACGATTGTTAATAAACTTATAGCTGATGGGGCCGACGTGAATGTTGCCGACAATGAAGGAATGACTGCATTAGCTTATGCAGTAGGTCACCAAAAAGGTTCCACTCGCGTTCTATTAGCTGCAGGTGCAGATGTCAATGTTTCAGATAACAAAGGGAGGACAGTGCTAATGCTTGCAATACAAAGTCAGCATTTAGAAAAGAAATGGATATTCGCCATTTTAGAAAAGGTCTCAGATTTACATGCTCGCGATAGCGAAGGGAAAACAGCTCTCATGCTGGCCGCAAAGTTTCACGACAGTTTGCTAGTTGAAAGGCTTCTCAAAGCTGGTGCAAATCCTAATGTTGCAGACGAAGAAGGGAAGACAGCTTTGATGCTTGCGGCTGAGAGCAATCGTTACTCGTCTGTTGTGCAAAAGCTAATAGACTATCATGCCGACGTTAACTCGGTCGACAAAAAAGGAAAGACGGCTTTGATGTTTGCAGGTAGCAATGTGAATTATGGAGTTGCACAGACACTGATTAGAAATTGTGCAGATTTGCATATCAAAGATAAAGAAGGGAGAACAGCAGTAATGATCGCGGCGATGGCTTCAAACGTTGTTCTTTTACAAATCTTCATAGATTCCGGTGCACTTGTGGATATTTCAGATAACTTTGGGAGGACGACTTTGATGTATTCAACAAGTCATTTACATGAAAAGGTACTCCAGATTTTGTTGCAGTGTGGTGCAAATCCTAATGCTGTGGACACAGAAGGGAATACTGCTTTAATGCTTGCAGCCAACAATCCAAATGAATTGGTTGTACAGGGTTTGATCACAAGTGGCGCTGACGTTAATTTAGCAAACAAAGATGGAAAAACAGCACTGATGTTAGCAGCGAAAGAAAACCCTAATCCCAAAGTTGTAAAAGCGCTGATTGACGGAGGTGCAGACACAAATGCCACTGATCGAGACGGAAAGAGTGCAATTGATTATGCGTCTGCCAACGAAAACGAAGCTGTGCTCGAGGTTTTCAATGATTGAATAGATTCGTCATTTTATGACTTTGAACACGTACTAACTTTTCCTTTAAAGAGGGAAACGGTTTGGAAACCTTTTGTTGTACTTCATCTTTTGTATGTATTTTAAAATGAGTGAACATAAACACTCTCTATGAGATTATGAAATGAAACATTCCAATATTGGTTATTTATTTCCTTTTGTTTTGCATT